AAAGAGTGCCATGAGAAAAGCACAGTTTATATAACAGGTATATGAAGTGTGCAGAGCAACTCATAACAGTTGACTGGGTAAAAATCTTGCGCAACCTTCATTCACTTGCTATGTCCTGCCTTTTCAGGGTCTCACATGCCAGCATCAAACAGCTCCTTGAAAACCACCTTGCATACATTCAAAGCATCAAGATACAGATGTCCAGGGAATTCTTCTCATCAGTATCAAATTACCTTTACCTGTCTGCAGAGTTCAGGTTTACTCTGGTAATCTACCATCCTGCTCAACCAACCTACACAGCTGCAGGGCACAAATTGGGTACGGAAGCAGTTCACAAGGTATAAATTAAGTGGAACATTTTAACCACGACTTACACTTTTTTGTTGTTGCTGTGCCATGGCTCCACAGACCCTTTACTTATAGCTTAAATGCTCTAACACGGTGGTGCTCAACTTTTTGGCTCTGCACCACCCCAATCAGCCTCACACCACCCAACCTAACATGCATGGGCTGCACTCTCTAGCCCATGGCGCTCCCCTGGGTCCAGAAATCTGGCAGCAATTAAGTAAGGCTGCCACCAAATTTTCAGACCCTTGGGGAACCCCATGGGCTGGATGACAGGGTTCTGTGGACTGGATCTGTCCTGTGGGGGTTGGGGGAGGCTGAATACCCCTTCCCCTAACATTCCAAATACATTTACCAAATGCAAAGATTCATCATTTTGCTGCCATGCCTGCTTTACCTGTGGCAGGTTAAGGCATTGTGTGTGTGTTGCCTCATGTCAGAATGGACGGTGTAATTTTACTATGAAGTTAGATAACAGATTTGTACAGGATGATTTGGATAGGGATGACCTTGCCTCAGGCAGGGGGTTGGGCTAGATGACTTCTGGAAGTCCCTTCCAGCCCTGCTTCGCTATGATTCTAGTGAGCCCTACTCCACGTTCAAATGAAACCATGATAGAAACCAGCTACAGAGTCAGTACATCTTTTCAAGCACTAGCTTTATAGCTGGATGTCTCTTTTTCTAGCTGGATCATCCTTTTCAACCTGTGATAATCGCCTGGCTCATGTGGCAGTCTCAATTTATGGCATATTCACCAGTGACCTGTACGATACTCACTTGGCACGTGTATCCATGCTTCACCAGCCAACTGTGCGATAATCGCCATGCACGCACAGCCAGTCTCAATTTATGGCGCCATTCTCCAGTCGACCCCAATTTGTGGAGCCATTTGCTGGTCAGCTGCGTGATACAGGTAACCTGTCGCAGGGACCTGCGGTCTGTTGCATAGGGGTTTCCCTTCTATGTGCAGGTGAGGGCAGGGGCGGCATGGCATTGCCTGGGGGCGCTGTTTGACAGGAACAGGGCACTTGGCAGCAGGGAAAGGAGCTCCCCCCACCCTCTCCCCGCGGAGGGCAGCGTGCAGCCAGCGGCCTCACACCCCCCCAGCTGCGGCGGCGGCAGCTGACGCAGCAGCAGTAGAACGTTGGGGGCAGCCAATCCGCAGGGCCGGAGCTGGCTCCCACCGTTTATCCCGACCGTTTATCCCCCCGACGCCGACAAGAAACTGCAGCCCGAGCCCCTGCTGAGAGGAGTGGGGGAACCAATCCCGGCCGTCCCCCTACCCGTGCTGAGGGGACCGCGTTACTCACCGGCGGGTCCGCAACGGCAGCAGAACGAGGTAACGGCGCACGCCCTTCTTGCCTCACGCTCCCTCACTTACTCGCTCCCTCATTCGCGCACACACCCAGCGCTAGCGCCGCGACCGCCGGCTGCGCCCCGATTGGTTGAACCGCCAGCGGCGGGGGCGGGGCCAAAGCTCCAGGCCGCTGTCAAGGAGAGGGTGTGGCCGGGGCGGGAGCCGTTCCCCTCTCGCCCCGCCCATTGGTCACAGAGTCCTCGCCGCTTGTGGGGCGGCGCCCTTTGCGGGGCTGAGCCAGAGGGAGGGAAGAGTGTGAGGGGGGTTGTGTGAGGTGAGGGTGGAGGGCTTGGGTTTGCTGAGGGAAGGCAAAGCGGGGGGTTTCCATAGAAAAGGATCAAGCAGGCAAAAAAAGAAATAGATAATAATTTTAGACTAAAGGAGCAGGTTTCCTTCAGTCTGGAAGCACCTTCTGCCAGACTCAGCCCTGCCCTGGAGATCTGCCGGTGCTGGAAAAATAAGACAGGCAGGGGTGTGACCCTCCCAGGGTGTAAAATGCCCGGGGAGGACTTACACAACAGGGGTAAAAAAACAGCCGTGTCATGTGTAGGGCAGATAACTGGCCCCACTGCTGGTGTGCCGCGAGCCAGGGGCATGGCACCATCCAGATATTTTCTTACTTAAAGCCATTGAAAGCTTAGTGAAGACAGCTGTGGTAGCTGCCCAGGTTGAATGTCTGTCATCCCTGCGCTGCTATGGGGGACATCCCAAGCAGTTTTTTATACCATCCAAGTGGCTTTTCTACCCCTTTTTTTCCTAAGGGAAATAACTGTCTATTGGCAGTGTAGTAGCATAAACACAAATTCATTTTGTTAAACTGTTGTTACCCCCAGAAAAGTCATTTTTGTTCATCCCCCTTCCTCCCCACAGCCTGTCTTTCACCAACTAACTCCTCAATTTACATCTTCACTGACTGCCTGTCTTGCCTGCAGCCCAGCCTCTGGCCTCGTTACTACTCCTTCCACCCAGGAAGAGCACACACTAACTGCAGATACTTTTTCAGCCTGACGAAGGGTTTTTAAACCCAAAAGCTTGCTAAGAACTTTTTTTACCAACTCTTTAAGTTGGTCTAATAAAATATATCAGATTCGCCCAAAGAACCTTGTCATTTTTATATGTGAGCAGGTGGCATGGGGGTACAACTTGCAAGAGGTGACAGTAAATTCCTCAGACAAGGCATGTACCACAAATTAACTGCATCCCAGAGACCTGACCTGAACCCTTCTCCCACCCTTGGATCATACAAGAAAAGCCTCAGCTCTTCAAAAGTCTCCCTCCTGCAAATCCAGGCCCAGCATGCTAGTGTTGCTGGCATGTTTATGATGTTGTTTTTTCTTTTGGAAGAAAGTGAAAGTAAAATGCAATAAATGAAAGAGAAGTTGCCTGGTAAAAGAGGAAAAAGGGACTTGCAGGTGTCAGAAGGACAAGACAATGGAAAGCAGAAGCACCACACCCCTCCCCTTTATCTCTTTTGATTCAGGAAGCTTCCTGCTTGTCTGTTAATACATATGAATGTAGTTTGGAAGATGAGGGAAGTAGGTGTTGTCCACAGAACAGTTAATGGTTTCTACTCTCATGGTGTAGACACGAGCTACAAATACATTCTAAAAATTGCTTTGTTCCCCTTTTTAGCTTTTAATATGACACAGGAAGCCTGAAAGGATTTTTTTAAAGGATTTTTTGGGTTGTTGTTTACTGTTGCCATAAAAAATTATGCAATCTAGTCTTTTCATTTGTAGGAGGATTTCCTAAATGTCTCAGCTCATAATCAGCATTTTCACCTATATTTTAATTATAAAGGAGTCAGTCAGTTGGAAGCAAAACTGAGTCATTTATGTCATCTCTGCCAACTGTCATTTGTGCTGCCTGTCATCAATCAGGGAGCACCAGGCTAGATCTTCCACTTTGTCACAACCTCAAGCCTACTTCAGCTAAACTGCTCAAGACACACAGTACTGCTTGGGCAGCTCTGCATTAAACGGGGTCAGAGAGGCCATGGGACCAAACCTCACTTACAAATCTAGAATTACAAACTGTCCTCACACTGATTGCCAGAGTTACTAACACCAGTAGCTTGGCCATGCTCCTTCCCCCAATATCCCCACAGTGTTGCCGAGTCTCACAGGAAAAAAGAGCGGCACTGCCTTTAAAAACAAACCCATACAAGCCCAATCCATTTCAAAGAGAAGGGCGTGGGGTTGCTTATACAAATTCCATATTTTTTTAGTAGTTCTAGTTTTGCTGCATATATTAAATTACACATTTAGCAGTGCTGGCAGGCAGCAAAGGTGCCAGCCTCTTCCTGGTGGGGGGACGGAGAGGGGGCTGATCTGCAGGCGGGAATGGGATGGGCTCAGCTAGCACCACCTATTTAGGACAGCCAGCAGCAGTGCTAGGAGGCGTGGATACAGGGGGCTATGGGGAATCTTGGGGTCACTACAGTCCCCCCCCAAGCCTCCCCCAGAGCCACCCTGCTGGCAGGGTGCACAGCAGGGCGTGGAGTTGCTCCACAGCCGGGCTGGGATCTTGCAGTGGTGACAGCGTGGTCCGGAGTTGGGGCAGAGCTGTGATCAACAGCCTGTATGCCCTAGGCAGGGGCATGCAGGCAGTAGATCACGGCTCTTCCCTGGCTCTGGACCACACTGTCACTGCTGCAAAGAGCTGGGGCAGAGCCATGATCTCCTGCATGCACGTCCCTGCCGACTGCAGCTCTGCCCCAGCTCCGGACCATGCTGTCACTGCCGCAAGATCCCAGCCCGGCTGCAGAGCAGCTCTGTGCCCTGCCAGAGCTGCTAGGGCCAGTCTCCACAGAAACCCCAGCCCTGAGCTATCACAGAGCAGCTGCTGCTGGGGTGTCCATGGAAACCAGCGCCTGCCACGCAGGCAGGGGCTGTTGAGAAATGGAGTCCGGGCACTGGCCAGATCCACCATTTTGCCCATCCCTGAACTATAACTTTTTTGGTTTAAGCCACCTATTACAAAAAAGCCCCAAATATGTGCCCTCCATATAATACAAGCCCAAAAAACTGCAACCTACGACTCAAAAAATTAAAGTGACTTTTTTAAAAAAACAAGCCCAATTCCACTTACTATAAGTGAACTTGGCAACCTTGCCCACAGAGCATTAGAGACAGACAGTAGGAAAACCTTCAGTCTTTCAGCATGTCAGAGAGTGCTGTTCAAGTGCTTGCTACCCTTTCTAGATCCTGTGACTTATCTCCAGCTAAGACACTTCTACTGGGATGCTGCCACTCATTCTTATCTGGGTTAAGGTCCATCTCCCAGCATGCAATATGGCCTTAACAAGTCCTGTGGTGCTAAAGGGGCCTTTACATTTTCCAGTGAAGACAGTTCAGATTTCTTTTCCACAGCTGACTTGTTTCTCGTTGCTAAAGATGTGAATGCCATCAGCAAAGATACAGTAGCATGTGTGGGGGTCTGTAGGACTCCTCAGGAATTCCGTTTGACTCTTTTAAGTCAAGGAGATCTAAATAATCAGCAGTAGCTCTAACTTATTTGTGCCTAGGCAACGTGAAATAAAAGTTCTCTTAACATATTTGTACCAACCAACATTAACCACATCCAAACAGCTGCCCCTGGGCCTTTCTAAAGCTAGCTGTATATACAGTATGGATTCTCTGCTCTGAGTTTGCTTACACTATTGTGTCTGTAGCTGGAACATCCATTCTCCATTACTTTTGCCTCCTTTGGACAAATTAGCTCTTAGGCACTAGTAAGTGCTATTAACTTGCATCTGATTTGGATGTCTGAGCAGCCAGTGTAGAAAGAATATAACATTAACCATTGAGTTCTTTCCTTGACGTACCATTTTTTTCACCTCAAATGGTTTAGCATGGTCAGGCAATTTGCCTAGAATGACATCAAACTGAATTACATGAGACTTCATGGCATGTAGAGTGTGAAATTCTTGGATTCAAGCTTACTCTTACAAGCCGATGTTTTCCCTGTTTATTAGCTAGTCAAACATTTCAGTGTTATTTCCTTTCTCACAGGCCCAAGAACAGTTATATTTCTTCAGCTTTCTTTCCCTCCTTTTTTTTCAAAGAAAGAAGATTCCAGTTCATAGCTGGGATGTTACCATTGGTAACTCTGTGTCCCATGGCAACTTATTCACCAATAAACCGTTTGGGAGGCAGATTAGTAATAGCTGAACTGGAACACTTGCTGAAGAATGTGGGACAAAGGTAATGAAATTGTTCTGTGTCGTTGCTAGGCTAACTATGTTAATGCCTTTGCATATAAATATTCAACATGGCCATGCTTGCCTTTGTTTAAGGTCATGGGGGCAGAGCTGGAAGACTCTACAAAGTGCTAAACTCAAATAGGCTTTCACCCAGCAAGGACACTTGTCCAGAGAGGTAGATTGCACGCTTGAAAGAGCCACCTGGATACCATGTGAAGAACTGCTGCAGTACAGAAGAAAACCCCCCACAAATCGCACACCGCTGGTTATGACCTATCACCCTTCCCTTGAACCTGTACGGAAAATCCTCAAAAAATTGCAACCCATACTAGACAGAGACCCTATTCTAAAAAAGATCTCCACAGACCCACCCATCCTAGCCTTTAAACAAGCACCGAATCTCGCCAACCTCATCACCAGAAGCAAACTTCCTTAAGCCCAGAACACACCAAAAGGATGCAAACCGTGCCATGACAAGAAATGCAAAACCTGCCAACACATCTCCACCACCCCCACAATTACTACACCCCACAACAGAGCCATCAGCATCCCAGGATCTTACAGCTGCACCTTCAGAAATGTAATATACCTCATCCAATGCACCAAATGCCCTGATGGAAAATACGTAGGAGAGACCAAACAACAACTGCGCACCAGAATGAATGCACACTGGAAATCCATCAAAGACAGAAACACCCAATTACCGGTGGGGGCAC